CAGAATTTTTAAATCTTTTGCTATAAAGGCTTAATTACTTGCGACTGATAGTGGCGCTTCCAGTTGTACGTAGTTATTTTATTGTTTTCTTTATTGAAACTGATGGAGTTTCTATTTATTCTTTTAAATAATAAAGAAAGGTCATCTGTGGTGAAGGCAATGAAATAAGAAGGACAATTCAAAATTGCCAACTAATGTGAATTTGTTTCAGTTGGAATAATTTTCCTTGTTCTGTGTTATAGTCAAAGAGAATAATATTCGATATCCACATATCATTTGTTTTATTCATTTTGGAAGTATCCTATTTTTACTTTATCATGGATCTCGACAGAACCATTTCCGAGAATAAATAAAATTGTTAATTATCGATTAAATATAACAACACCATTTAAAATTACCGATATTATATCAATTAGTTTAGCTTCAACAAAAATCACCATACAATTGTTAAATTTTATTAATGAAAAATTAATAAATTTAAAAACAATATATGTCTCTTGGAACACATGTAATTTACAAAGTGAAATAATCAAAGAAAATAATAAAATAAAATTGACACGAATAAAAACATTATGCTACTATGGTACAACATATGATGTATAATATATATATTTTCTTCTATTATTTCCGAATATTAAATGTATTAAATTAAACTCATGGGCAATAGCTGATTGTTTTCAATTGAAATGTTTACAAAACATACATTTAATGTCCTTATTTGAGAATATCAAATACATTGAAATTATTAGAGATTACAGAGACGAAGAGAATCTTCTCTCAAAGTGCAAAAATACCTTGAAAAACGCTTTAATTACTTTAAAGAAGTACTAAAATGTTTAATAACTTTAATCAAGAATTAATATGTTTAAAAATTTGTCTTTTCTTATTAAATAAATAAAATTATTCGTTGATATTATATAAAAAAATAATAATCTTTATTCTTGAGCTATAAAGAACAATTTGTCATACACATGTAATTTAATCTACTGAGGAAATATTTCTTTTCTAGTGATTATGATGGAATGAGTATTTGTCGACAAATTCGTTTAGTTTTATGGAAAAACTTTACCTTCCGACGTCGACGATGGGTTTGTTAAAAATCGAATAAATAAATCAAATTTTTATTGTTTTATTTTATTTAGGCTCGAGTAATATTCGAATTAATATGGCCTATGGTTCTTATTTCTTATTCTTATGTAGGTACGAACAAGAAATTTAACATTTTATTATGATGTCTGTAAGAAAGAAATCTTTTTTTGTTTCGGAGAATTAAATAGATTTATTCAGGTCATAATGATCCACAATATCTTGGATCAACGGGATGTTTACCTGCATTACAAAGTTATATTTGTCAATGGAATAATAGATGTCATAATCAGTCGAAAACAGTGGATGAATTTAATGAAAATTCCTCGTTTGTATTTTTTCTTTTTAATTAATTTTTTTAATTCTTTTTTGTTTATTGAAAAGACTTTGGAAACAAATTTTAAATTTAGCTGGGAGTCTTTCAATTATTTTAAACAATAATGAAACATCCGGTTATTTAAGGAAACTTTTTTTCTCAATTTAATTTATTAAAAAACTATACAGATATTTAGAATGGTAAGAATATATATGTCGGAGTTGACTTTAAAAGTCAGTTGTCTTTAAAAGACAACTAGTTGACTTTTCAATTTTAGAGTCAACTAGTTGCATTTTCAATTTTAAAGTGCACTAGTCGACTTTTCAATTTGAAAGACAACTAGCTCTACCCTACTTGACTTCAACATTTTAAAGAGAACTAGTTGACTTTACAATTCTAAAATCAACTATAGCTCATTTCAAAATAGTAGGTCTCTAAGTATTTTTTCAAGTATTTTCCATTGAAATATGATAAAAACTTGCACGCATCACCATTGAAAGAGGAAAATTGATGCTAACAATCCGTGCAAATCTCAGTGAGTTCAATGGTCCAACCGTATCTCGCCATTATGATCTGAAAATTTATGGAAGTCACATGACAAGGAACTTGACTTTGTTGTTTAATCTCGTCAGACAATAGTTCAGATGTCAGTTACATGTGATGGTACCTTCGTTCCAACAGATAGAACGTCAATTATCAAAAATAAGATTAGTAAAGATAGGACATAAGGAAAACCAACAATGATGACTAGTTTTCTACATTCTGTAGACTCGTAGTAGAAGGCGCCATTGGTACCACGAAACTGGTCATCACCGCGTTCTCAGTCCACTTACCGATTTCATCGCTAATTTTACGGTTGCATGCTTATTCAACTCAGTTACATTTACCAATGTAAAACTTAGAACTTGTTTTTGTTGAGAAACAATGGTAATCCAAGAAAAAAATTAGAGCTTTGAAAACATGGAGCTTTCGAAGTTCACTTTGGATATTTTTAGTCGTCGTTTAAAAAACTATCCACATGTATTTTGTTCAATCTATCATTTTTCGCGCAAATCAATACCTCTTTTACGTATTCCGAAGTGAAAACTATGTATTTGTATCGTATTTCAATGGAAAATACTTAGAGACCTGTGGTTCGAATCCCGTCAGATCGGATTGTCGGATTTATCATGATTAGATCGGATCTCTTCCGGCACAATCCGGCGTCGGAGTTTTTTGCAGAGAATCCGATGAAATCAGACATCTTCCGGTTTACGGTCTTTGATCATCCGACTCTTTCCGGAAGACTGTTCCTAACTGATATGATAAGATATGCTGTCGGTTCCGACTGGATTCGACCGTATATTTTCCGCTGCAATCCGGTTCAGAATCCGGGCGATGAGAATCCGACACAAACCATATCGGATCCGACAGGTTTGTTAATGGAAGATGTCGGATTCCGATGCAATCCGGAATCGGATCCGACGTGTCTCGGTCGAATGCAGAAGTCGGATTGAATCAGCTGGGCATGGGTGTGTGTAAGTGTGGGTGCCTGTGGGTGTGGGGTGGAGACGGAGGTGTGGATGTAGGTGTGAGGAATATAATAATGCCCACATCCACACTCACACCCATACACCCACCCACACTCACACCCACACCCACACTCAAGGGGGAAAAAGCAGATCCTAGGATCCATGAGGATCCATTCTAGGATCCACCAGGATTTATCAGGATCTATGAGGATCCTGGTGGACCCTCATAGATCCTGATAAATCCTGGTGGATCCTAGAATGGATCCTGATGGATCCTAGAATGGATCCTGATGGATCCTAGAATGGATCCTGATGGATCCTAGGATCCGCTTTTTCCCCCTTGCCCACGCCCACACCCACACCTTAGTGAAGTGTGGGAGTTTGTTTTGCGTGTTTGTAATCAATTTTGCTTCGCGTTTATCGTTGGCGAAATTACTTGATTTTTCCCACTTAAAGATGTTTACGTGAATCAGCGAAGCATGACATTTTCATCAGATAGGTAGTTGTTTTTCATCAGTGTGCTCATCGTCGCATTTATTTCGTTCTTTCAATATTCTCCTTTTTTCCACTTTTCTTTGTATGTGCTGTCCTTATGATGAAAAAATATACACTAATATTTACATACACGAGAGCATTACAATTAAATGTGGAACGGTCATGCTGCAATGACGCCATTTTTTGTCCACGACTTTTTTTCATTTTCGTCTATTTGAGAGGTATCATTGAGCCATTAGAAATGTTTCCTACGAGGATGTGGGTGTGGGTGTGGGTGTGAGTGTGGGTGTGGGTGTGAGTGTGGGTGTGGGTGTTGGTGTGGGGTGTGTGGTGTGTGGTGTGTGTATGGATATACATAAGAACGACACCCACACTCACCCACCCATACCCACACCAACACCCAGCGACACATACACCCACACGCATCCACACGCACCCATACCCACCCCACACTCACCCGCACCTACACCCACCCCTACACCCACATCCCACACCCCACCCCACACCACACCCCACACCACCCACACCCACACCCATCCATACCCGCCCACACCCAAACCCATACTCATACCCACACACCCACACCCACCCACACCCACCCACACCCACCTACACCCACACCCTCACCCACCCACCCCACACTCACACCCCAAAATTTCAGGACTACCCGAGGAGTTTGAGGTAGTTCCTGAGATATACAAGTCCCCTGAGGATTCACGACAAGAATTCCCCGAAGATTTTACATTTTTCAGAGGATTCCCCGCGGGTCTCATTAGAAAGAGTCGACTAGAGAATAAACTCCCAAATGCACGAGATACTGACGTGTATATATTACGTTTTGGGTGTTTGTTTTATATAAAATGAATTTCTTAACTTGATCCAGTCCAAACAAAACCTAACTTAAACTTCCGTTTCATACATATATCATGCCGTAATGAGTTTTATTTTGTGATCCAACTCAACACAACCCGACGTTGAATCATATCTGATATATACATACAGATATATATTCTTACTTGACTTGATTCAACCCAATCCAACGAAACTCTAACTTAAACTTTAACGTTTTTGATATTCCTTTTTATAACGTGTGTTCACTATAATTCTCTTTAAAACATTCAATTAAATTTTCATGAAATTTCTTCTATAGTCATTTTTTTGAATCTCGTGGAAAACGGAATTTACCATCGCATGGGTACTTATTACTCATTCATATTAGTTATTGCCAAAATTACCTGTTGGTAAGTAACGCTATAGGTATATAAGCAGGCGACAGTAGTAGCATATAAGGTATACAAAAGAGGAAGATACATTCGTCAATGTTGTCGAATCACAACGCCGTTGCTCCGGAGCCGCAAAACGTTTCTAACAATGTACAGGTATGCTCTTATCTATTATATTATTAGTATTGAGATCAAATGTTTTGCAGTCTGATACTAAACCTTGGTACAGAAAAAGAAGAATTTATATCATGGGTGTAGTGGCTGCTGCAGTGATGTTCATCGGACTCGCTCTTTTTCTAGGTTTGTACTTTGGCTTGAGACGCGCAAACCCATCTATCATCCCAGAGTCATCGAGTAAGGTTATCCATTGTGATGTTGTTATTTTGGGTGCCGGATTTGCTGGCACATATGCAGCCTATCAGCTTGCTAATCGTTCCGGAAGTGGCGTTTGTCTTATTGAGAAGCTTGATAGATTCGGCGGTCGAGTATGGGATGTTTCAGGATGGCTCGGTGGGCCAGTATTCGGTGTTGGATCGCTCCGGGTCACAGAACTGCAGCGCACTATGCTGGCATTGGCAAGCGAACTTAGCGTAGAATTGCAAAAGCAGGAGACAGACAATGAACTCATGAGAGTTCGTGGCCAACAATTTTATCGTGATGTAGACGATGTGGGTGACGGAGTGAGTGAATCTAATTTAATGTGTCATTCAGTGTTTCGAAATCTCACCTGTGACTATCCTGACTATCCCAATGATACTGACAAAGCATTACTGTCCATTCTGCTCAATACGTATCATGCCAACAAATCAGTGGCATTTGATTATCCAGATTTTCCAAATTACATTCTTTCACTGTTTGGAGACGAAGGTCTTGCATTTATTCGAGAATCAGTACGATATAATAGCTTGTTCACATCAGTATCGATCCATAGCATTTTGGACTTCTTCACTAACGACCTTAGGGCTACGGGATTTGATCCACGTCGTTATTATCCAGTTGGCGGAATGTCACAATATATCGACAAGATGTTAGCACATGCCAGGCGGATGCATGTGCAAATTTATAGCAATGAGCCTGTGCTTAAAATCGATTTTGACTCAACCGGTACCATATTCGTGATCACTACAGCCAATTATACATTTCGTGCACAGAGTGTTCTTTGCGCTATCGATCCAATTCAATTGCAGGATGTGCATGGCAGCATCGCGGACTTGATAAAGTCGTCTCCAGAATTTAACGTTATTCTACCGAAGGCTCTAGCAATTGTGACAGCATGGTGGAATGAGCGATGGTGGGAAGATTCATCACTCCATCGTAATCTAAGTCGAGTTGTCAGTCATGAAAACTGCTTCAACACAATGGATATACCGACATTTCCATACGGACGGGACCAAAATGTCACAAGAGCTGTATATGATGATGGCGCATGTGTGGACACTTGGCGAACATTGATCAAATCAGGCGACAAGAATTCGCTAGCAAAAACGGTAACTAATAGCCTCAGTAATGTCTTCACTGATGTGCATATTCCAATGCCTAAAGCACTGCACGGATTTGTACATGAAAATGCATGGCATCTTCAAGTTGCCAGTTCAACAATTTCAAACAAACGCATCTTTGAATGGTCGCATCAACCGTTGCCTGGAAAAAATTTCTCTTTAATTGGAGAGGCTTACAATCTTGATTTTGCTGCATGGTGTGATGGTGCATTAAAGTCAACTATGTGGGTCTTAACCAAATTCTATAACTTCACCTACCCATGTTTGAACGACGAAGGTTCGCCAGCAAACTGTACAACCATTCCCAAGAAAAAAGAATCTTTTAGCGCTAAGGATATCGGTGGTTTTCTTTTTGGATAATGTGTAAATATAAAGAGCTATTGGTTTTCTTTGTTTTTGCTTCTCACTTCATTTATAAATTGATTTTTTTACATAATCTC